GATGAGCAACTTTGCCACTAAGGAGCACCACCACTATGGCAGCCACGGGGACGACCGTGGCAGTGGGGAGTGGGCCAGCTTCATGGAAGTAAGCCCACGGTGAGAAGGGGCCAGCGAGGCAGCCACCAACCTAGGCTTAAGCCACTTTATAACAACAAGCATATGCGCTAAAAGCAGCCCAAGCCGTTACCTCAATAGCGCAGGCCCAAGCCTCGTTCACTTGGTGCACGACCCAATCTGCAACCCACGTTGCAAGGCAGTAGAGCCAGCCCCAACACGAGTCGGCTTTAGCCACTAACTCAACAGTGCAAGCCCAAGCAGCTGTGGCACGAGAAGCAGCTCATCGCCATTTCGAGCAAAGCCCAGTCCTTACACGCATCATACACAGGGTAATCCACGCTAGCGGCCCGACCCGCTCTCGTGGTCCAATTCGAGGCCCAGCTTACTCCTATGACCATCCAAGCAATCCCGATCGGCCCAAGACCGGTTAAACCATCCCAACTTTAAATTCCTGGATAGACGATTGAATCGGGGGTATTTTCACCCCATTTCTCCGTGGATTTGACATATCCCAACTCAAATCTCGCGCCTAGAGTCCATTACACTTCCATTACTCAAAGAGACTCATGCCGTCTGAACTTTTCCAACCTAAATGGTGAACAACACTTGTCTCAACAAGTCATAAAGTTGACAAGTGCACTACAGCAGACGACCTTAGTGAATAAGCTCTTTTAGCATACTAAGATGCAGCGTGCCTTACACAAGATGTCCCAAAGTAGGACAAGGGCAGACGACGAACCTCTCCAGCTGCGTCCCAACAAGCAGCCATTCGACTAATCACAAACCGAGCGTTCTGGTAGTGTATACTCCCAACTAGGCCCCTAAGATAGCATATACTATCGTCTTAATGCGTGAAGGAACGTGCATTATTGGTTAGGCCCATGAATGAGCATACATTAACCGTTAGGGCCATACTCCGATAATCAACATGAGCAACCTTCCAAATGAAATGTTCATTTGAGGCTAAGCCACAAGGAGCATCATCCACCTTACATCGAAATAAGCAGCACGACGGACGGAGAAAATCAATCACTCAATTTGGCTTAAGTTTAATCGGCATCCTGTGAGAAACTCGCTCACCTACTAGAAACATACCACATGCACCGCAGCTGCGACATAGATGAGCCGAACACATGGAAGAGCAACCTAGACTAGTAGGTCACGATAGGGGGTAGCCGAGAACTCTATTACCCCAATAATGGCAAATTCATGAAGAAGTAGAGAGGCGACTGACCGAACAATTACGCAATTTCCAGCGCAATGAAGCTACTGACAAAGTGCTCTGACGAGACATGACCAATATAAGCAGGTTACCTTTCTTTGATAAGATCAAGCAGACGGGACTATCCCACATAGATTGTCGGATACAAAGATTACTTATGTTCCGACAAACTCAGCAGCTCAGCTTAATGGCACGTCGAAGGCATACGAGTACTAGAATGATACACCAGCCTAACTACCAAAAATCGGGGGCAGACCTTATCTAGTAGCCGAGCATCATGGACATAGTGGTTCAATTTCTTCTACTGCGCACAACCTGGCCCAAGCCAGCCCCAACTCTGCGTTCACAGTCATGCTTACTTGCTCTACGACTCCCGGTAGCCTTTGATATGTCACCATGACTCGTAACTTTGCCGATCTTGCACCACGACTCCCATCCGTGCCTATCTTTCCGCGTGGCTCGCGCCGACCAAGCACATGGTACTCCAAACTTCAAAGTGTCCAATGACGAAGCAAAAGACAATGCTTTATTATCAACCTTTACTAGTGAAAAACTTAGCGGGGAAGAAGCTTGCAATCCATTCAGATTCTCAGCTGATCACCAACCAAGCCTTAAAAGGGCACACGACGAAACATCTAACGATGGCGCAATACTTGAAAAAATTCTGAGAGTAGCTCACCGTGCTTCCCACGTACATCTTTACATGAGTTTCATAATCAGTTCGAAGTCTCAAGCAGATCGCCGAACAAGACCTCATAGGCTAAGGATTATTTCAGTTGTCTAGTAGTCTAGTTTTCCTTAACTGCACTCATAATAACGACTTTCATGCTCTCCAGTGTGAGATGGTAAACCAATTCCCCAACACTCATATGAGTTTACTCTTTAGTGTAAGAAGATAAACTAATTGCTTTCCAGTGCGAGAGGGTAAACCAATTCCCCGACACTCATATGGGTTTGATCTCCAATGCGAGAGGATAAACTAATTGCTCTCTAGTGCAATAGGTAAACCAATTTCATGACACCCATCTAGGTTTGCTCTCTAGTGCGAGAGGATAAACTAATTGTTCTCCAATGCGAGATGGTAAACCAATTCACCGACACCCATATGGGTCTGCTCTCCAGTGCAGGAAGTTAAACTAATTGCTTTCCAGTGCGAGAGGGTAAACCAATTCCCCGACACCCATATGGGTCTGCTCTCCAGTGCAAAAGGTTAAACTAATTGCTCTCTAGTGCGAGAGGGTAAACTAATTCCCCGACACCCATCTGGGTAAGCTCTCCAACGCGAGATGATAAACCCCATCTAGGTAAGCTCTCCAATGGGAGAAGGCCACATAGTTTAAAAGATCGAATACTTGAAGATCGACTAAGCAACAAATGGCCAGGGGGCAGCAACCACTTCGCACTCAACAATTTGCTCATCTGACACTTCATCTTCAACAGCTCTATCCTTGATTGCTTCATCTACGGCAGCTGAGAAATCAAACTCAAGTAGTTTCCTTATTTTTGGTAAACAGCCAAGATGTTGTAGTCCAAACCGTAACCCATGCCACACAATTTCCTCGGCCCATGTTGAGCCAGCCTTTGGCTTCAGTCAAGACGAGCAGCACAAGTTGTGGCCCTTGTCACACCACTTATTAGGCCCATACCAAGTCGACTCCTGGCCCATGCCAGCTGACGTGCCACACCACTCCAACGGCTGCCCCATAGCAGCACCTCACAAGAAGAAAATTAAGAAAATTAAGTTTTTCTTACATTGGTACAGTGCGGAGAAGACAAAGAAATTAACGAAAGATGTTTCTTTGCACGAGCAAGCAAAGAAGAGTACTAGGGGAGGGGAATAAATATCCTCTAGCTTTCTCTTTTTCTTGTAGGGATAAATAATTACCCTCCAAAGTTGATTTAATCCCCTACTTAAGGTAGGCTTAAATAGGCTTTGGAGACGATTTATTTTCCTTTCCTATAATAATCTAATTCCAAGTCCAAGTGGGAATTTGCATCAAAGTTGGAGACTTTTACACCTGATGCCATTTCCTGCGAGCAGCCCAACAGGTGTGAGGGCATTTGTGGAGCAAAAAATAATCAAAAAAATTATGGAGGCAACATGTGTACTTTAGGGTGAAAAAGACAAAATTACCCTCGAGGCACACGGGGATTCCCACGCTCATGCAATGGACAATAATGGCTCAATCAAGGAAGAGTCAAAGGTAATCAAAATGATATTTATTCAAAACCCTCTCATCATACCTCAACAATTCCTCACCCATAAGGTAACTCCTAATTATTCTTTTCAAATTGGGATTAATTACCAAATTAATTGCAAGATATTATTTAACATAATATCTTGCAATTATATTCAAAATACCATCATAAGTGGCCGGTCCCTATTTCTCCAAATAGGGTCGGCCACACCCTTATATATAGCCCAATCTTCACACCAAAATGCGAATTCTCTCCCTAAAATTCTCTAAACACTTTCTCTCTTAAATTCTAACTTTGGCATCAGAGATTCTTCGGCTAAAGCCCTCTATTCATCGTGTGAGGCTCTTGGCCTTGATCTTAGGTGTTATTATTTTGCAGGTGCATTTCGTCAAATAAGAAGAAGGCGAAAATTTGCATCCACAGTTTTGTTGGTGCTGCTTCTGGTGATGGTGGATTTGCTTGTTTGGCTTCAGGTGGTGGTGGTTTCACTATTGTGGCTTCAGATGGTGGTGGTTTTGCTGCTGCAGCTTCTGGCGGTGGTGGATTTCCTAGTACAGCTTCAAGTGGTAGTGGTTTCGCTGCAGGCGAAAGAGGTTTTAGTGGTGGACTCCCTGCGAGTCTTTTCTCTTTTTTTTTTTCAAATTTTTTTCATTGATGCTGATGTTGTATCCTTGTGCATCTTCAGGTGGTGGTGAATTTTCTAGTACATCTTCAAGCGGTGGTGGTAAATAAGTTTTACTTATTTATTTATTTTGACAGTATACTAAAGAGTGAGATTAAACCATTATGAAATAAATTAAAAATAAAAGTATCAAGTAATTTAAAAATACCAAACGCATTAAAAAAATTATAATAATTAATTTACAGGTGCAAAAAAAATGTGAAAAAATATGCAAAGGCTCAGGATTGCATCCTCTATGCTATATGAGTATGAGTCCATCATTGTTTGAATTTTTAAAACCATATAAACCTTAGGGAGTTCAAAATAAATAAAATTCATAATCATTAATGTACACGTCTAAAAAATGCGAAAGCATATATAAATGTGCAAGGTTCCTCAACTTTGAAATGCAACTTCCTTCATTTTGCATATCATTAACATTTGATATTTTATAATAATGTACTAATGTTTTTTTCGTTAAACTCTTTATTTTGAAGTATGTAATACTTGAAAGACAAATGTTTTTTTAATTTTTTAATTTTGTATGTTTTGAATATTTATGTGACAATATGGTATGCATATACTAACTTAGTGTTATGTTTTTCATTTTCATTATTTATTGTTTTAAAATATATTTTCTTTAACGGGTAATAGGTCGAATCATATTACCTGATAATACTAACGGGTCAATTTCGAGTCGAATCATAGTACCTGTTTACTTTAACGAATGTTACACGACACGATTTCGGATATGATACGAAAACGATACGAATGCTAGATCTATCTAATCTAATGGTCAAATGAGTATCCAACATTGTAAATTGGTAAAAGTACATGCTTGTAGAGGAAAGTGAGTTGTGTTCTTTCTTACCAATTGCCAAAGCCTTAGCCAAGACGAGGGAAAAATGAGAAGAAAGTGAAGGGGGAAGAAAGAAAGAAACTGAGAAAATTAGCATAAGTTAGTTTAACAAGGACGAGGAGGAAGAGGAGGAGGATGAAGAGATGAGTTGGCCTCAAACTGCCAGGCAAATGGGAAATCAGACCGACCCTAAAGGACCCCTAAATCAATTCACATTTGAAATTTGGTATTACGACAGGCTTTGTGAATCATAACCAGAAGAAGAAGATTTGAGAGAGAGAGAGGCGGAGGGTGGGACCGGTGTAGGGGGATAGGGGGTAGGAGGAGTTTATGATGCTTTGTGAATCATTGCGTGATCGAATACAGCCATGGCTTCGTGATTACGACAGGCTTCAATCATTGGCCGTCATTCTCCTCTACATTCAGGTTCCTCTCCTTTCCTTTCCTTTCATTTCCTTTCGCTTCGTCTTCGTTTCAATTACAAAACCAAATCAATACGAATGAATGATTGATTCATATAACATGTTAAAGATCGATCCTTTAATGTATGTATGTATGTATAGATTGGGTGCGCATTGGTGGGATCGCTCGGTGCACTGTACAACGGGGTTTTGCTGATAAATCTGGCCATTGCATTGTTTGCCCTCGTCGCAATCGAGAGCAGCAGTCAGAGCCTCGGCCGCACATACGCCGTCCTTCTCGTCTGCGCCATCTTCCTCGATGTCATCTGGTTCATTCTCTTCAGTCACGAAATCTGGTAACATTTTCCATTTTTTCCATTTTGCATTTTAATGCATGTATATGTATATATGTATGCTTGCTTCTGATGCTTTTGTGTTTGTAACTTTGTGTTCTGCAGGAACCTTTCTCGTGGAAGTGGGAGTAATACAACTTTGTACATCTTCTCTGTAAAGCTCACTCTGGCCATGCAAATTATCGGCTTTTCCATCAGGTTATCCTCCTCCTTGTTATGGATTCAGATCTACAGGTTGGGCCTTTCCTATGTAGACACTAGTGCAACTCCTAGAGAAGCCGATTTTGATTTAAGAAATAGTTTCTTGAGTCCTACTACTCCCGTTGTACCCAGACAAACTTCAGATTCTAGTGATGCTATAGGGGGCGCTATCTATGACCCCACGTATTACTCCTCACTCTTTGAAGATGGTCAGGTCTATCCTCTCTCTCTCTATCTATCTATTTATCTATCTATCTTACATTACATGCCTGCTCAAATTTTCATTTTCCTTGTTCTTCTCTTGCATCTACAATTGCAATATATTATCACCCCACTTTGTTTGCATCAGTAACGATTAACAAACTTACTATGGAGCAACTTCATCTTCTTTTGTATTTCTGTTTGTTCAAATTCTATAGCTTCACCCACTATATCTGTTTAAAATTTCATTTAATCCATGTTTCCTTAAAGGTGGCTTATTCAAAGAAACACGTCTTGTTACCTCCTCTCGTCGAAACCTCATTTTAGTTTACTTTGGAATTCTTGGAAACTTTGTTTAGCAATCAGTATCATTGCAAACCTAGCCGAAGTTTTCCTCTACCAATCGTCATGGATGTTAAAAGTTGGTGAAGTTAGTGACATACAATTATATAAGAACCAAGAAGTTAGAGTATACAATTGCAGGACAAAAGTTAGCGAAGTTAGTGACATACAATTAATCTCTTTTAATTTCTTTGGTGAGAAGTGCAGTTTTAAAACCCTAATATTTGGGATTCACAATAAGAGTAAGGCAGGGACACGAGAGAATGGGTATAATGAAGGAATGCAGACATTGGCCCACTTGTGGTTGTCAAAATTTACTAGGCAAGATTCTATGAATAGCTACCTACAAGACAACTATAAAGTATTTTTTGAAGATTAATGAGTCTCACTCTTCCAAGGAAACTATAACAATCAAGTATATGTATTGCTTCAAAAAAGTGTAATGTAAGGTAGCTGGAGCACTAAGAGTTCAAGGGTTGCAATGTATCATGTATGTAACTTGGTTTGTGAGATATAGATGACCATCAAAGTCCTCTTGGAGGCAAGAATATTCATAAGAGGACATGAGGATTACATATCATGACCAACAATGCTATCCTTGATATTTGTGATTTGTGAATTTCATATCCAACTTGGTTAAGGAATGAAATTCTAATTAGGCTTCCTTGAAAAGAGACGTAATGTGTCTGTTCTGGACGTAACTCTGGGAAAGTTTTCTGCTCTGTTAACATTTGCATTCTAGGAGAGGGGGCTGAAAGTTTGATATCAATTGTTCCAAGTGGGTGGACAACCATGCATGTTGGTCTTGAATTTTCCAGTGGAACTAACGCCACTGGTGGCCCAAAACATTTCTTTAAATAAGTAAAGGTCCTATGCATCAAAGGAATCATGCAAGATTTTTCTTGGGCTTGGATACTAGATGGATGGTGGGCTAGGCAAGAGTTGAGAATTGATGATCTTGCCGTTCTACCCCGGAAAACCCTTTCTAAAACTGGCTTTAATCATTGAGTCACTATGGTGTCCACAAGAAGGGTCTTTTGTGACTCTTTGTGTGGCAATTGTAGAAGAGGGGTTCTGTGCAATTTGTTCACTCCTCCACTTCAATCTGAGTTCATCATGGCGGCATGCAATCACATAAATGTAGACTTTACCATAGAATATTGAAAGATGCAAGGAATCAAAGACACGAACTCTGCAAATACTTCCGTGTCTATCCATCCAATGAATGAATATGTTTTTAATACAAGTTTTGTTGTAGTATAATTTTTGTTGACTTTACTTTGTTCATCATGATTTAAGCGTAGAAAGTATTGATTTGAAGTGCTATGACGCATTTGACTATGTAAGAAGGTTTTTATTCAGATCCTTGTTTGGGATGTGAGAATGTTTTCCTCCACTTCCGATTTTTATTTGTTTATTTCTTTTGGGGGGGGGGGGGGGTGGTTGGGGAAGGGGGGACATCATGACTACCACTTCTTTTTCCAGCTTTGATTCTCGTTTACATATAATTATTACAAAATATACAATATGGTCATAATAGTCTAAAAGGAAGGAGGTTGTCAAAAACAACCTAACGCAAGATTGTACAAATATGTACATGGAAGAAAACAAGAAAGAAAGCCCGTATGTAAAGTCAAAGGAACAACCATTATGGTGTGTTCCAAGAAATCTCCGGCAGTAAAGCTGATAGGTATATTCAGAAATATAATATGGAAAGGTAATTAGGAAAGGGTAAAAGATTTAATTTGTCTATGAACTTCATTGAGGGTTAACTCAAAGGAATGAGTATGTTAAGGGGCCTTCGACTGAAATGTCTATGAAATCACATGATAATAAAATGAAAAATGAATGCTAATGTTTTCATAGTGCATCTTGTTATGGTTCTGTGCATGATGGTTTTGAAAGTAATCAACCTGGCGAAAGAATGAAAGGAATATATGGTGTACTATTGCAACATCTAGTTTGGAGAATTACGTTTTGCTATGATGTGAACTACTGAGATATATGTTGTTGTGTGAAATTTGCAACTGCTGATACTTTCTGTTTCTTTAGATATTCATAATACTGTTGTTGTCTGTTAGAAGGTAGCAACGACTATTCGTCAACTGTTACTAAATTGAAACTTCTGTTATTTGTTTCTAGGGAAAATATTGCAGTGGCAACGGATCTACTTCTGATGTTGAATCTTCTAAGGCAAAACCATCTGTAGTCAGATCATTTCAGTTCGTAGATGTAAGTATCCATACATGAATATATTTCTGACCAGTTATATGAAATTTGGTAGCATAATGTGTCTGATGACGCAGGTTGTTATCCCCACTATTATGCCATTTGGTTAATTTATTTTATAGTAGATCTCATGGTTTCATTCTTACCCTTTTGTTATCTCCCAGCAACACCAACTGACCAAAACATTCATTCACTTGTTTATCTAGTATTTGGTTGGGTGGCCTTTTGAGGTTGTTTTCTTGGTTTTGACAGAGAGAATTCTCAGTTGAGAATTTGGATAATTCATTTGTACACCTCTCTACCCAAAATTTGATTGGATGATGATTTGTGGTTGTTATGTAACCGTACCCGTACTCGTATCATGTGCAAGCATTATAAATCTTGTGTAAAATGATTTTATTCATCCAGCTGACAATGGCCTTTTTATTCCCTCATTAGTAGTTATGCTCCTCTGCTGTTTTCTTATTCATTTTCAACAAGACACTCAAAAATTATCTTGGCTCATGCGTTCTACATTATGCTACATATGCCATTTAAGTATTAGTCATGTACAGGGCAGATTGTCATCCGATAGATCTGTGCATAGTAGAAGAATATATACGAGTCCATATTTGGGCTGTGACTGTTACCCCACTTTAGGTTAATAGGATTTTCTTTAATTGTAAAAGTCTCTTATGATTATTATTTTATCCAGATGAAATGTCGTTTTTGCTGCTTCTAACTCGATTTGAAACCTTGCAGGAGGAGAAGGCAGCAGCCAGCCTAGTTCCGTTTAATTTTGAGTGCCATCTGTCTTTTCTTTACGGATCGACTCCCCTAGGTAGTAGTCTAGATGATCTTTCATATGATGTAGTCGCTGCGGCCAGATTGTGTTAGGGCGTGGGCCTTGTACAGTCGGATCACATATTATTGCATTTGTTTTGGCCGGATGAGGATGGGAAGGTGTTGATCAAATCAAAGTATTAAAAGGAGAAGCACATGGTCCGTGTGGTTTGGTTTGGTATGCCAAAAGCTTTTGATCAAGATCCCAAGTCCAGTGGTTCATGCGTGTGACATTTGTTGGATATTGAGTTGCGTTAGCGTGTCGGCATCACCGCGCAGCAATCAACATGTGGGTGTTAGTTGACAATGGACAAGGATTGCCTGCCCTCCATTTCCGATGCCTTCTCCGTGCTCTCTTGTTTGTGTAATCACGGTTAAGTCACGTCAACTTTTTATATTACTATTCATTTTTGTCTTATTATATCTATAAAAAAAAAAATATAAAATGTTGACGTAGCTTAATCATGATCACACAAAACAGGAGGGCACGTAAAGGGCACCGGAAGTAGAGGGCAGACAATCCTTGTCCGTTGACAATAGCATTTTGGTTGAGGAACCAACAGAAGGCAATTGCCTCTTGTTTCCATGATAGCATTTGTTCACCCTTTCAATGTAGCCTTGTTTTTTTCTTGAATTTCAGACCCCGTGCAATGTCGTTCACTACGAACTTGCAAGAGTTTTTTTGTTGTTTGTTTGTCCGAAGTAGGCGTGTAGAAGATACTTTTGGATAATTGCAAGCCTCAAGAGTATAATTAGGTGATGGAAGGGAGGCAGTTTTGGTGGGCTTTGTTTGTTCTTGCCAAGGAAAAGCCGGTTTCCATGGTCCCCTCCTTTTTGTTGGTATATATAGGTTGAGCAGGATATGAATGAGGAATATATTGATGTAAATGGTGGGTTGAAGGAGAGCATTCATGCATTGTTTTGTTGGCTCGGAACAATCGAAGGCCGGCACAGCAGCCAGCTAAGTGCGCTAGCTTGGATGCCATGTTTGGAAAGGAAAACACTCTGTTTTAGCTAACTTGGCTACGTAATCTTTGCTAAAAATAATTGAGTTAATAAGTTTCCTCAATTAATTAAGCTCAGCCCCATGCTAAATATTCTCAGACGATATGAGCTTCTGCCTCGAGAGAGAAGAATATAAGTAAAAGAAATAGGAATGGTAAAAAATAAAATAATTATCATTATTAGGAGTAACTAAGCTTTCAATTGAAACGTCAGTGGGGCCATGAGGCTTAAGCTTTTTTTTTTATTATTTGTTTATGAAAGGACGTGTCGGCCATTTGAATGATTGTCATTTGTCAACCTTCCCAGTACTAATTTTGAATCATAAGTAAATTGAAGCGACAATCCCCAACCATGACCAAACTGGATCGCTCGATTAAAATTTGTGACATTTTTGGTATTTAAATTTGATAAATTAGGGAGCATTCACAAAATTTTTATTTAGGATTAGAGTTCATGTGTGGTCCTAGTTTATGCTTTGTTGCTTCATTTAATTCTTATGAACATTTGACTTTTTATTGCTTATTTCAGTCTAAATACAACTACAACTTTAACTTTTTATAAAGAAACAGCTTTTCATATCAGACTCTAATTGTTAATAAAGAATAATGACTCGTCACACACAATGAACCAAACATTTTTCAAACCATATGTAAAACATGTGGTGCCAAATTAATTCAGAAAATCTTCTAGCCACACATAAACATTATTCACTATTGACAACAATGCCCTTATTAAATTGGCAAGGTCTATATTAGTTTCACGCTCAAGTCAACCAACAAAAGAAGATCTGAGCAGCTAATTACAATCTTTTCAAGCTTCATCATGGCAAGGAGATAAGACAATGGAATTGAAGGTTCTTACCTTTAAGCTTTCATAATTGAAGATATATTCCGTTATTCAATGAAACAAAATCAAATAATAATATAATTCTTAAATATTATTATTTATTTAATAATATATCTAAGCATTATTCTCAATCATTTTAAGATATTTCAACATCTTAAATATATTTTCCTATTGCATGCAACAAATGACACACTCTGATCAATTAGACGCCGACACATGACATGAGATTCCCTATACATGTGGTCAACCCTAACTCCTATAATACCCCATTTTCCAGTTTATTATTTGGTAAGTTGATTTTACGCAATTCAACTCTAAATCTCTCTTTTTCAGAGAAATTGATTTAGACTTCAGAGGTTCATTGGTTGCCAAACCTCTCTAGGTGCGTGACTTTGGTCCTTAACCTAAGGTGTCACTTTGTTTAGTAGGTATAGTTTCGTCAAATAAGAAGACGGTGAAATTTTTCTACTATGAAACTCTTTTAGAAGAAATATTTTAAGAGTGTTTTCATTTTTAATTAATGTGTTTTGGTATGGATTTTTTTTGTTGAACTTTTATGAATCTATTTTGTTAGGAGGGGGGAGGGGGATGATCACTAGAGGAGGTTGATCCATTTTTGGAATATGAATCTATTTGTGGATTAGGGATGCACTAGATGGTTTCCAATGTGCGATGTCGAGCTTAGGTGTTGACCAACTCAAACTTACCTCGCAGTGTGTTATCGATTTGTTAAATTATATTAATTGGGCATAATAAATCTTTTCGTTCGATAATATTATGCTATATTTTATTTTATTAACAAACGATAGTATATACATATATCAGGTTAGTTAATTAAGTTGTAGATAAGTTTTGTAATAATAATGTAGTTCAATTTCGTCTTTATTAAAAAAACAATTATTTTTAATAATGGAGCTGAGCTACACCAACCTCACAATGTGGAAGAAACCAAAAAATCACGCAAATTTGTAAAATAAGCAGTAAGAACTTAATATCCGCAAGGAAGAAATTAGAGAGAGACTAAACTTGGTTATGAAAGGTTCTTGATATAAGAAAAGAAAAAATAAAATAAGAAGCCAATATAAATCAAATTATTGGCTATTTGGTTTGAAAAAACCGATGAAATGAGGACCACACGCAGATATCCCACATCACACGCATACACATAACGCGTTTTACGATTAGTTCATTTTTTAAAATTTTAAAAGGAAAAGGAAATTATAGATATCCAATCAATAGAAACAAACCAACAGACAAAACAAAGAATAAAAGAGTAGAAGAGAATAAACAAACGGCGGAAATTTCTCATTAGAAGATGATATAAACGTGGAATGAAAAGTAGAGTAATCACTACATTAGTCTAAAATATTCCAATTTGAATTTGTAATTTTCAAAAGCAAAGGAGTAAAAGAAAAATAGAGGAAAGAAATTAGCAAGTTGGAAACTTGGGAAGGGGATGGGATAGAGAGAGAGAGAGGGGGGGGGGGTGGTGTTGGGGTTGGTGGAGTCTTCTTCTTTCCCTCAGTTTTCTCTTTTTTTTTTTGCAGTTCCAAAACCAAAACCAAAACCAAAAACCCAGAAATGAAGGAAGGAGGAAGAAGAAGACAAAGAAGGAATTCATAAAATTGCTTGCTTTATCATTTGGGTGGGTACTCTCCACAAATCTTGTATTTCCATCTTTCTGTATTATTCAAACAATTCTTCTAAATTTTGTAACTTTATCTGCTGCAGTAATTTCCAAATTAATTACGTTTACGTTTGGTTTGCGTGTCAAATGCATCATCTTCTTCTTCTTGTTGAATTTTGATTGTTATTAATTATTGTTGGTAAATACTAGATGGATAATAAATAGCTGGGTCCTGAAATACTGCCAGATCCTTCCCTTCTCTACTAACCTTAAATTTTACAATCGGCTTTGAATCCACACCTTTCCTCTAATCCTCTTCCATAAAACCCCGGTTCCATTCTGGAAAGCGATTTGACTAATTAAGATCTGCTTTTGCTGTTGCTCAACCTTGTTCCTCCCATTTTTTGGCTTTTGGTAAGAATAAAAATTCAACTCTCCGTCTTCCTTTTTTATTTTTATTATTATCTATTTTTGCGCTTTTTTTTCCTTTCTGAAAAAGTGATTTCTTTGTGTGGTTCATCGGAGGTGTTCAACTTCAGCATATCTTCTGCTTCATGGACTTGTCAAATTCTGACTTTTTTTTATATAATTATTTTTGATAATTATTTAATTGTTTGGGATTTACATATATTAAATGGTGAAATAAATTGTGTGTTGGGTGGGATAGTGGGGATGAATGGCAATATTGTTTTGATGGCTTAGATCTCAAGTCGGGCTAAATTCTTCATCTCTTTGGTCCTGTTTAATTGGTAATTGATTTTGATATGGTATTGTGACAGTGAGTGAAGAAAGAAAAAAAGAAAGAAAGAACGTGAGATGGACGAAGCAATGGCAGCAAGGTATTGGTGTCATAGGTGTTCTCGAATGGTGGATCCCATCATGGAAGTAGAAATGAAATGCCCCTTTTGCCAAAGCGGATTTATTGAGGAAATGAATGGCACTACAAGGGAGAATCAAGACGCTGACTCTGATTTGGGTTCCGATCGTGCCCTCTCCCTCTGGGCCCCAATCCTGTTGGGCATGATGAACAATCCCCATCGTCGCCGGAGATTAAGACGATTCGACTTTGATGACGATGATGATGATGACAATGACAATGACAATGATGATGGTGTCATCGCCAGGCGCGTACTGAAATGTGAGAACTTGAATTATCATCCGGACGAGGAGGAGAAGCTCAGCCACATGTACAGTCTTCAAGGCATTCGAGCTATATCGAGTCTGAGAATTCTGAGGGGGATAGGGAGAGGGATAGGGAAAGAGAAAGGGAGAGGGAGCGCGTAATTCTTATAAATCCTTTCAGTCAAACCATCATTGTTCAGGGATCTTACGATTCGAATCAGGGTCAAAACAACAATCACACCCCTATTGGTTCATTGGGCGATTATTACATCGGGCCTGGTTTAGATTTGTTGCTGCAACATTTGGCAGAGAATGATCCTAATAGATATGGGACTCCACCAGCGCAAAAGGAGGCAGTGGAAGCTCTACCCACTGTGACAATCAAGGAGAATTTGCAGTGTTCAGTGTGCTTGGATGATTTTGAGGTCGGTATAGAAGCAAAAGAGATGCCATGTAAGCACAAGTTTCATAGCGGGTGTATTCTGCCATGGCTGGAGCTTCATAGTTCCTGTCCAGTTTGCAGGTTCCAGTTGCCTGCTGATGAATCAAAGCGTGATTCAGATATTTCCAGGAACAGCAGTAACTCGAGGGAGAGTGAAGAGATTGGTGATGATGTTGGTGGGGAAGAGGGAGATGGGGATGGGAGAAACGGAAACGGGAGAAGGTTTTCAATCCCGTGGCCTTTCAATGGTCTGTTTTCTCACTCAGGATCTCAGTCAGGTGGCAGTGTGGGCAATTCATCATCATCATCATCATCATCATCGGCAAATGCAACCGGAAGTGGAAGCACTTCTCAAACAGAAGAAAATTGAGTATATATTTCCATTAGTTCAGTTGGTATGTCAGGTTCTTGTCCATTATGTGGCTTCAATCATCTTCTGCGCAGCTTGTGTACATAGTATCTTAGGTGAATGTGAATAATGGAAGTTCAAATTGTTGTTTTATTTTTCCTCCTTCTTTTGTTATAAGGAAGGATGGTCTCTAGATGTTTTGGCCTCCTAGTCAGTACCACAAGAACTACTTTTGTTGCTATATTTACCTGATATGTGAGTGAATTGCTTTCCCATTTTTTCTTTGCTGTTGCACTCATAACTGGTGCTGCTTTAGAGGGCATGAAAGCTTCAGCATCATTGTTGGACTTTTGGCTTGTTTGTTCCAACTTTGAATTTTTTGGTATTGAATTTGGTAATGTCATATTCGGAGTTGGACCCAGCTGACACGGACTCACTAGAACCCTTGATTGTTCTCATTGGATTATAGATAACACTTGGAAGATAGCTCCTACCAGTATTAGACTAACAGTATTAGCTGCTGATCCTCTCCTCTGTCATACTTGATACCATGTTCTAAACAAGGATGGTCGGCTGGCATCAAGTATGACAGAGGAGAGGATCAGCAGTTAAATAACATCAATTTTTAGCATACATAACATGCAAAACTCATGAAGCCATCAATTCATCAAAATGGTCCTATTCGTAAAAGTATTAAGTCCAACATCGCAATATCAGCAAATTATGTAGCTATCCAAGCCTGCTCATCACAAACACTGATGACGGCGGTAGATATATGTTTTCGCATCCAAAAACACATTAAACGAGGCAAGGCAAAATCATAAGCATTGTCATTGGCTAATTTTGAAAATGCCAAAAAGAACAACATAAGAAACCATTGCCATCATCATCACTTCACGGTCAAGATCTTGATCACAGATGCAGTTCCATCACGGTGCAGAGCCACAACAGCATCTCCGTTCTTGCAGAGTCCCTTTGTCTTGGCATGTTGGAGGGCAAAGTCCAGCGCTTCTTCAGTTGTCTCTGCATTAGAGGCCCTAGAAGATCCCGCACTTAGAACTGGAACCAACCCACGGAAAATCAGACTATGCCTTGCTGGAGCTTCATCACTGCATGACCAGTCAAATGAATCGGTCGTAATCTCAGGGACAACAACAGACAGTATAGGCATGCCAGGTCTGTACTTGGCCACCAGCTTTGCAGTACTTCCTCCTCTGGTCAGTACCAATATAAGAGCTGCTTTGGACGAGTTGGCTGTTTTAACAGCAGAAGAAGCCAGACTCTCTAGTGGGCTCATGGGCACGGGGGAGTGTTCCATAATCCTTTTGAACACATCTCCATAGTGAAGGGTGCTCTCTGCTTCTACGCATATTTTTGCCATGGTCCGCACTGCAAGTTCAGGGTATGCTCCCGCAGCAGTCTCACCACTTAGCATCACACAATCTGTGCCATCTAGAACGGCATTGGCAACATCGGTAGCTTCAGCCCTAGTTGGACGGGGAGATTTGATCATTGACTCCAACATCTGTGTTGCCGTGACCACGGGTTTTCCTTGGATGTTGCACTTGTAGATCATCACTTTCTGTGCAAGGAAGATCTTTTCAATTGGAATTTCCATACCAAGATCACCTCGTGCCACCATGAATGCATCTGATTGTGCAAGGATGTCATCAAAGTTTGCCACCCCTTCCTGATTCTCAACCTATCAATCAAAATTTCAAGTAAGAACCATAGAAAGGAAGAAAATACGTGAAATTTAACCGTAATAGTATCTATATAAGAGGGTAGATACGTTGCTAACAGTCGCATAGTTTTAGTGAACGCCTAAAAAACTATCTAAATAATTCCACAATGCCAGTAAAACTTTTTGCTAGAAATGATTTTGAGTTCAAATGAATCGGTTCATAATACTTTGCATACCAAAAGGCAACAATAAGTAAGTACCAGTTGCAAATTTGCAATCACTGATTAATCTAGGCAACATAAACTTGTACTAGGTTCTCTCTATAGTCAAAAGCAGTAAAAAAAAAAAAAGCATACTCCAGGATGGCTCAGTTTATCTTGTCATGAAAAAGTGAGCCTTACCTTTGACATGAGAAGGATATTCTTAGAATGCTTTCCAAGGAGCTTCCTGACCTCCACAAGATCAGAGCCTTTCCGAACAAAAGACAGGGCAATCATGTCAATCTTATTTGGAACTCCCCACTTGAGAATATCTTCTTTGTCTTTCTCTGTTAAGGTTGGGAGATCCACAATGACCCCGGGAAGATTAACGTTCTTCCTCTCACCAAGAACTGCAGAGTTCTCACAGCGGCATTGAACCAAACCCTTTAGCTTATCGCAAGACAGAACCATAAACGAGATGGTGCCATCAGCACATAGAATCATGCTCCCCGGCTTGACATCCTCAGCCAGCTTTTTGTAACTCATACAAATCATATTTGCATCACCCTTGAGGCCATAATCAGTGGAAATGGTGATCTCTTGGCCCAGTTTGAGCTGGACGGGTTTCGCATCCTTGAGAAATCCAGTTCGAATCTCTGGACCCTGTGGCGGTGAATTTAAGAAACAAACAAACAAACAAACAATCAGGAATTCCTCAAAGCTTCCATAATCTAATCCACTTCTTGAAAAATAACATATCATTCTAGTTCGAGACTTAGTCCTCGTTTGGTGTCTAGAATTGTATTGGATTAGATAACTAGCTAGATTCAAACTAGGTTGAAGGAACAAATGGTGGCCAGTTCAATCCAATCCTAGGTAGCAAACGTGGCCTTGGTACAGTTTCCAAAAATGTGCGTCCTAAGTCCTAACCTCTAACCTAAGGGAGGGAAGGATTAATTTCACACACATAAACACACACAACATACACAGAGAGACAGAGAGAGATGAAATACATGTGTCAGTGTTTGCAAATTTTCCAAAAATGAAAAAAATCATACACAAATTAATAGCTTTTATGTGTGTGTGTATGTATATGTAAAAAAATCTGAACCCTAAACAGAAAAATGAGCAAACATACAAAAAAACTAGCAAACAAAGCAAAGATACAAACACAGAGAAGAAGCAAATAAGCAGTAGCAAATGCATGTTGTATTGTATGATTGTGAATCCGAGAGATTAGGATCAGATGGGATCGGAAAGGAGAGAAGAGGGAGGGACGGACCTTGGTGTCGAGCATGACGGCGCAGAGGATGCCGGTGGATTCCATGGCTGCCCTGAGATTGTCGAGCGTCTCCTGATGGTACTCGTGGGAGCCATGGGAGAAGTTGAAGCGGGCGACGTTCATGCCGGCGCTCAGCAGCTTCTCCACCATGGGAACGGACCGCGACGCGGGTCCCAGGGTGCAGACGATCTTGGTCTTGGGCCTCTGATCCATTTTTCCCTCCGATTTCTTTCGGCTTTCAGCTTTTTCTGTTGTTGTTATTGGATGGGGGAGTTGAAAGAGTTGTGGGAAAATATGCCAACGGCGATGTACTTGTCTTGTGTTTGTAAAACGTGAATGACAACTCTCGAAAATAAAAATAGGGGTCTTTTATATGGTTTTAAACTAAACTAAAATTAAATTTATTTCAAAAGTTAAAAGGTTCTAAAAATTAGATTTATTTCAAAAGTAAATTTATAAAATTAAACCTATTTTAAATTTTCTCATAAAAATAAAGTGGGGGCTTTCGATCTGCGAATAGTACAAAATACGTTTGATGGTGAAATAGAAGAAGAAGAAGACCGAGAAACAAGCGTGTTCGCCAATGCCTCTTTCTCTGTGTCTTTTCTTTTTCTTCCTTCTCTCTCATTTTTAATTACTATTATTATTTATTTGTTTGTTTGCATTTTTCGTTTTATATAATGATGACAAGGGAAAACAAGCATAAGAATATTGTTGCTGCTTGGGCAACGAGCTAGCTTATTGTATCAGCCAACGCATAAAGTTATTTATTTGGGGGCTTGGCCTTGAGATTTGAGAATCTTATTCCATTTTATATTTATCTTAGGTCAATTTAGTCAAATTTGTGAGCTGAGTTGATTTTTCTTCATTTATTTTTGTAGCTATTTTTGTTCATTTTAATTGGAAGGAAATTTTGCCTAAATTGGAGAAAGTGATGTAATAAAATGAAAGGACAAATACGAGTATGTGATGACAAAAACAAACTAGAGAGAATTTAAGCTTTCTAATTTTTCTACAAATATTTCTAGAGAAGCAACCAACCAACATGCAGCAATTCATTTCATGCATACTAGCATATGGGCACGCAATTTTTTTATTTTTGTTTTTGAAATAGAAGGAGAGAGGAAGAGAGTGATACAAAATGTGGGAGTGAGAAGTTTTTTTTGTATTATTTATTTATTTTTTTATATATTATGATTACATGTAGATCAGACTTTGAAAAAAAATAAATATAAAAATTGGTTGTGTGAAATTACATTTCTGTCTCATATTTTTTATTCATGTTCTGTTTTAATTAAAGAATAAAACTGATAATTTTATAGAATTTTGATTAATAATGAGTGTTTTTTTAATTAGTAAAGATTATTATAGGTATAGGTAGGCCAGCTGGCTCTCGGCTCTCGGCTCTCTCTCTCTTTGACCCGTGACTTGCAATCTTGCGGTGCGTATTTCAGCAGGCACAACTCCATTTTATTCGGTTGTGACTCCTAACTGCTGACTTTGCATGGTGTGGACACTTGGACAGTTTGTGTCCAGTCCACCACTCACAAGTCGCAAATGAGCCCTATTAATTGTTAACCTACTTTACAACTTCTGGTTTGTCTCTGAAACCAGCAGAGAAAACTAGTAATAAGCCGAAACCAGCAGACCAAACTGGTAATAAGAGTCACTCCTATGGGCTATATGTCCTATCAGTATCCTAATTCCTAGTTTCCTATGGGCAGGCACCGGTGGGCAGGGAAGCCGATTATGCGCGCCGAGGCATGTACTGTATGCCTTGGTATCTCAAATTTCAATACCAATTGCCTTTCTCAAAACTCAACATCTCTCTCTCTCTCTCTCGGCCGGTCTAGAGATTTTGAAGCCCGGAGCGACGTCAAAAAAAATGCCCTAACTTCATGTAAAAAAATTATTTATTTTCACGCATAAGACATCAAAAAAATTATACTTAGAAAAACACTTCAAACTCAATAATTTAGAAACACAAAAAGACTAATTTATTTTTTTTGAGAGAGGGAAACAAAAAAACTTCGGGCTTACAAGTAGATAGATGATAAGTTTTGTTTTCCATCTGAACTTTGAATGTGTTTTTGAATAAATCGTGAGGTGTTTTT